CAGTGGCAAGATAATGAAGAGGAGGTTCAGTCGAGGTTGCTAGAGTTGGAGGTTCGAGATTTTGGGCAGGGGAAGGTGTAGTAAGGGTAGGGGTGGTCGCTGGGGAAGGGTGCGGGGTGGGGTTTTCTTATGAAGTTAATATCTTTTAATGTGAGGGGGTTAGGGAGTTTAGTGAAAAGGAGGGAGGTTAGTAAGTTGGTAAAAGCAGAGAGACCCGATTTCTTATTTCTACAGGAGACAAAATTAGAAATGGTGGAGGATGCGCTATGTAAAATGTTGTGGTTTTCAGATGATTATGATTGGGAGATGAAGGAATTGAGTGGAGCCTCTGGGGGTTTATTGTGTATATGGAATCGACTTGAGTTTGTAAAACAGGGGGTCTTCTCGGGCAATGGGTTCTTGCGGATTAGAGGAGAATGGGGACCTAAGAAGTTGAAGTGCCATTTTGTGAATGTTTATGCCTCAAATGACAAGCAGAAGAAAATGATAATGTGGAATGATCTTCGGCAAATGTTAATGGAAGAGGAAGGGAAATGGATGATTACAGGGGACTTTAATGCAGTTAGGAGTCCCAACGAGAGGAAGGGTAAGACAGGGGAGACGCAGGATATAAGGGAGTTTGATGATTTTGTTGTGTCAACTGGGTTGGTAGATATTCAATTGGCAAATAGACGTTTTACATGGTATCGACCAGATGGGTCGTCTATGAGTCGGTTGGATAGAGTCCTAATGTCTGGTGAGATGTACAGTTCGGGAAAGGGATGAGTGCAGCATGGACTGAAGAGGAATGTGTCTGATCATTGTCCTATTATGGTCAAAACATCAGTAGCTGATCGGGGACCAAAACCGTTTCGAGTTTTGGATGCTTGGCAGTAGCACCCGCAATTCAAGAAGGTGATTGAAGATAAATGGAAGGAGCTCGAGGAGGAAGGGTACGCAGGATATAGATGTAAACAAAAGCTTAAGAGGTTGAAGGATTTTTTAAAAGGATGGAATAAGGAAGTATTCAGAAACATGGAAACACATTTTCAACATTTGGTCAAAAGTGTAGAACAGATTGATTTGAAGAATGAAGTGATGGATTTGGCAGAGGATGAGGTGGATCTAAGAAAAGAAGGCTTCCAGCAGTTATGGGATATTATGTGGAAAAGGGAGGCTATTTTGAAGCAAAAATCTAGAAGTGATTGGGTTAAACTGGGGGATCAGAACACGAGATATTTTCACAAAATAGCAAATGGGAGAAAGGTACAAAATAGTATCTCGGGATTATGGTCTAACGGACAATGGGTAGAGGATCCGGAGATGGTTAAGGATGAGATGGTGAAGTACTTTAGCAATATGTTTCACGATGATGCTTGGAATCGACCCATACCTTCAAATTTGGTTGCGGAGAATTTTTAAAGATCAGAAGGAGTGGCTTGAAAGGCCTTTTACTAAGGAGGAGATTGAAGAAGGCTTGAAGAGTTGTGAAGGAAGTAAAGCTCCGGGACCTGACGGGTATAACTTTAATCTCCTCAAATTTATCTAGAGTAGTGTTAGAGAAGACTTTATTGCTTTTTTTCGGGATTTTCACCAAAACAACAAGTTAGTGAGGGGTTTGAATTCTTCCTTTCTTACATTAATCCCGAAGAAACTGAACCCTAGGGAACTAAAAGATTTTAGGCCTATTAGTTTAATTGGCTGTATGTATAAGTTGCTAGCAAAGGTGTTAGCTAATAGGCTTAAGGATGTGATGTCGGGGATTATTAGCGAAACGCAATCGGCATTTGTAGGGGGAAGACAACTGGTGGATAGTGTTTTGGTTCTAAATGAAGTTGTGGACGAGGTTCGCAAAAGGAAGCAACTAGCTTTTGTTTTTAAGGCTGATCTTCAAAAAGTTTAGGATTGTGTTAATTGATCGTTTTTGGACTGGATGTTGGGAGTGTTTGGCTTTGGAGATAAATGGAGGGGGTGGATTATGGAGTGTCTATCAATTGCCAGGGTATCGGTATTGGTAAATGGTAGTCCAACCAAGGAGTTTGAAATGGGAAAAGGGCTCAGGCAAGGAGATCCTTTGTCTCCTTTTTTATTTTTGATGGTTGGAGAGGCATTGCATGGACTGGTTAAAAAAGCAGAAAATGAAGGCATGCTACAAGGGGTAAAGGTGGGTAGGAGGGGGTTGGCGGTCTCCTTGTTACAATTTACAAATGACATAGTTATTTTGGGTGAGGCAAGCAAAGAAAATATCCTCACGATAAAAGCTATTCTGAGGTGGTTTGAGTTGATGTCGAGGTTGAGGATAAATTTTAGCAAGAGTTGTGTGTATGGTTTTAACATGCTGGACAGTTGGGTGAGAGGGGCAGCAGCAGT